TTCTCAGAGGTGGGGGGGGGGCCTTGCCGGTGCCGGCCCCCCGGGGCTGCTCCGGCTGCCGCGGGGCACGTAGTTGCTCTCCCTGTCCCGACTTGGGGTCAGCCTGATGTGAGATGGGAGTGCGAAGATGGTAGTCAGGCTGGGGATGGGTTGTCTGTCCTTGGTGTTGGTGAGCAGTGGGGAAGGGCATTTGGGGGAGAGGCTGCAGCCCTGGGGGGGGGCCTTGCCGGTGCCGGCCCCCCGGGGCTGCTCCGGCTGCCGCGGGGCACGTAGTTGCTCTCCCTGTCCCGACTTGGGGTCAGCCTGATGTGAGATGGGAGTGCGAAGATGGTAGTCAGGCTGGGGATGGGTTGTCTGTCCTTGGTGTTGGTGAGCAGTGGGGAAGGGCATTTGGGGGAGAGGCTGCAGCCCTGGGGACATCTGTCCTCTCGGACTTGGAATGTGAGGCGAGAACGGGTTCCCTCTGTGGGGAGTGGGGCCGCGCACTTCCCCTAGGGGCTCTGTCGAGTGGATGAGACGGGCTAGGCTGGTCCAAGTTCCTCCTTCCACAGTGGGATGACCTGCCTGGACATCAGAAGGGCAAGGAAGGGATCTGGCAGCAAGTAACCCTGGCTGTCTGGGCCCAGGAGTTTTGAGGGACAAGTGAATAGGAGTTGGGTCTGTGAAGTTCCCTTAATCTGCCCCTTTAGGATTCCCTCTGACACATTCCAATCCCAACCACTGCTTGAGTCCTGAGTGGCCTCTTTCCAGCCAATGTGGGGGGCTCTCCTGCAGTTATCATTTTTTTTTTTTTTTTTTTTTTTTTTTGGTACCTGGGATGAAACTCGGAACCTTGCACTTGCAGGTGGAGAAACCACAGAGCTAAATCCCCAGCCCTCCTTCAGTATTCTTAAGGGGAACCAGAGTGCAACAAAGGAAGAGCTGGAAGACTGGGACAGGGACCCAGGAGTTCTCATCCTGGAGTTCCTTTGACCGCTGTTTCCCTGTCTTTAGCAGTTACAGCCCAGTTCCCTCAGCCTGACCCAGTATGTAGGAAGGAATCTCTGCAGGTGGCCAAAGGGTAAGAATATGAATGGTAAGAATATGAAGTTGGTGTCGGTGGGTTGGGAAGGGGCACCTGAGGAGGGGTCTGTAGGCAAGAAGCTGGAACCTGTTGCTTCCCTTTAGGGCTTGTGTCCTGGGCAGCTGGAATCCTAGTCCTCAAAATTGAAGCACCAGCATTAAAGTCACCTCCCATGCTGAGGACCTGGGTGGAGGACCACAACCTATATCCTTAAGGCAAGTAGGGAGAAAATAGGGTCGTGGGGGGAGCATGTACCCAACTAGATGTCACACACACTCACACGCGCGCGCGCGCACACACACACACACACACACACACACACACGCACAGAGGGTGGCTCAGAGCCTAGTAGGCAGCAACACAGGGCACACCCCCTCCAACCCAGCACACCCCCCCACCCTGGCTCAGAAAGCCACCTAACTGGCACCTCCAGTTCCCCCCTCTGCCCCACCCGGCCCATGCCCTCCGATGCCCACACACATTCCACTGGCATTGCCTGCCTGCCTCCTGGATACTGCCCCTCCCTGGGGCCAGTGAGGTGGAGGGAGGGAGGGCACCTGGGGATGAGAGGTGGAGATTCAGGGGTCTGCACTCCCCCAAGAGTGGCACAGGGCCAGGAAAACCAGGCCCATGACTGCCTCCTAGGGAGCAGGCTGGGGGCCCAGGCTGGAGCAGAGGGTGCCTGGGTTCTCCACCCAGGCTGGAGATGGGGTCATGGAAAAAGGTGGTCGTGTTTATACAGAGGGAGGGGGGCAGCGGGTGGAGAGCAGCCAACAAGAGCAGCTTTGTTTCAGGCTCTGGAGCGGGCAGGGCGGCAGGGAGATGCCCCCCCTCCATCAGCCCCCTTCGTTCATGGCCTCCCCTCAACTCTACCTTAAGAGAAGCGGCTTTGTAAGAGCCCCTTTCCCTTAGCCAGTCCCCCCATCCTACCGCACCATCTGAGGTGACATCTTGGGAGGAGTGAAGAGTTCTCCCTTTCCACCAGTCTCCCAGAGAACCAAGGCATCCAGGACCTTAGTTTAGCATTTCCTTTTACTTCATACCATCTTCATTTCCTTGTACTCTTCCTTTAATCTGGGTTGAATCCTCTCCCTTCCCTTCCCAGCCATGGTGGCAGAAAAGGCTCAGAAAGAGGAGGAATCTTTGGCCCCTTCCTCACTGACTCAAGTCTCCTCTCTAGGTTCCTTCTCTGAGACAGTGTAGGCTGAAGGCCAGGGAGAGCTGGCTTGTCCTATGCTCATTTCCAGCTTCCTCCTTAGAGGAGTCTGAGCATCCCTTTCTGGGACCTCTGCTGAAGTCTTCCGGCTCTACTCCCCAGGTCTTCTTCCAACTATAGGTGAGAGACAAGGGCTGGAGCAGAGAGGTCCAGTCCCAGCCTAGGCATAGTCTAGGGAAGATGTATGTGTGTAGGGTGGGGAGGCTCTACTAGCTTCTTACCCTTGGCATTGGAGGGGTTAATCCATCTGGAATGTGGCCTGACCTGTTGAGCTATGGCCCAGGGGCCTCAGGGGCCCGAACTCCTGGCTCTACCTGGGCTTAACCAGGTTAAGCACTTCATTGGAATAAGGGAAGAAAAGGAGGAGGAAGGACCTTGGGAACTTGGAAATCAGGCTTTTAGGGCCTGGGGAGACACTGTTACAGAGTTGGAGGGTCTAGGGGTATGGGTACGGTCTGGTGAAGGGCAGGGGCTATTTCATGCACTGGGGCTGCGTGAAGGGTAGTAGTGTTGGGGTATGAGTTCCTATAACCGCCATGATAATTTACGTGGGGCTTGAAGGCTAATGTATATGAGAGAAAAGAAAAAAAAAGGTAGGGTGGGGGAAGCAGAGGTACAAACACTTAATTAAAGTTATTGGTTTGATCGTAGAAGGAAATAATGATGGAAAGCCAGGCATGGTGATACACACCTGTAATCCTAGCACTCAGGAGGCTGAGGTAGGAGGATTGCTGTGAGCTCCAGGCCAGCCTGGGCTACATAGTGAGTTCAAGGCCAACCTCAACTACCTGTCTCAAAACAATCCCTCCAAAATCCCCAAAATAAAAATAATGATGGAAAGATACAGAAATGCCCATCACCTGGGCCTGCCTACCCTATTGGCTCTCTTTGCTTCACTCTTGTGGTTCTTTTCTGCTCTTCTTCTTTTTTTGGTACTGGGGGACCGAACTCAGGACTTTGGGCTTGTGAGGCAGGCAGGGTGCCACTGAGCTAAATCCCTGGCCCCTTTCTGTTCTTTCTCTTCTTTTTTTTTTTTTGTTTTTGTTACTGGGAATCGAACTCAGGCCTTTGCGCTTATGAGGCGGGCAGTGGAACCATTGAGCCAAATCCCTAGCCCTCTGCTCTTCTTTATGTCAGAATAGGTCGTGATTCTTATGATTCTTACTAGCAGAGGGATCTAGGCCAGGGTAATTTTCTTGGTTCTTCATAAGGCCATCCTTTCCCTTGCTTAGAGCTTCAGGAGAAGGTCCACCTTTCAGTCCTGGGATTCCCATTCCTCTCTTTCCTTCTGTCCCTTGTCTTCCCTTGGTTGAGGTTAAAAATCTTGGGGTGGGGAGCTGGCTCAATGGTAGAGCACTTGCTTAGCATGTGCAAGGCCCTAGGTTCCATCCCCAGTGTGAAGCAAGACCTACCTTGGAGGTGTTGAGGGAGAGAGGATGCCAAAGAGCTTTTCAGAGGCAGGCAGCAGAGATGAGAAAAGGAGCTAGAGAGGTAAGGTAAACTGAGGGCAAGGAGGGGCATTTTCTGGAGGCATAGCTGTCTGGTTCCATCAGTGTCCCTGATTTTAGGGAGAGTCTGCAGGAGAGGTTAGGGAGTGAGGGGTGATTGGTGACAGTGAAAGAATTGGGAAGGAAAATGAAGAGGGAGTGTTAAGGAAGACCAAGAGAAGAAATACTAACTAATTAAAAGAGAGGCATGGAGGAAGAGAAGGTAAAAGAAATAATATGAGACCTAGCATTCATAATGGGCTCTACATTATCCTAAACACTCTACACATGCTAAATTACTCAGTACTCACACCGACCTTATGAAATGAACCCTATCATTATTCCCAAATGGTATATGGGGGAACTGAAGCACAGAGTGATGCACTCAACCAGTCCTACAGCTAGAACTGTAGGTGGTGAGGATAGCAATACAGGTAGTCTGGCTCCAGAGTCTGTGCTCCTAAGCACTCTACTCTTTTCTTCTCCAGAGGAGTGTAGGACCACGATGTTACAACAGAAACATCTAGCAGGGTGATAACATTCTGTTTTGTGCTGGGGATGAGATCCAAGGCCTTACGTGTGCTAAGCAAGTGATCTAGACTGAGCTATACCCTCTAGCCTGACAGTGTGAAGTTAGCTTCACCACTTGTAGCCATGTGACCTTAAGCCAGCCAACCTCAGTTTCCTCATTTGCAAAAAAGGAACTATATAATTTCTTTCTTTTTTTGTTTTTGTTTCTGGTACTAGAAATTGAACTCAGAACCTTGTGCTTGCTAGGCAAGACGTGGCACCACGAACTAAATCCCTGGCCCAGGAGTCATAATTTCTAGTTTGCAGAACTGATGTCTATCCCAGTTGTGGTGCTTATGATCATTTCTCTAAAGTCCTCTCCATTAGAAGTCCTCAGATCATCATTCATGTTGGAATCTCAATTCACCTTTCTAGTCCGGAGGGTTTCTCAGAGCCTGTAGGACTCCTAGCCCTGCCCTCTCTACCGCACTGCTAGGGCAGTATAGATCCCCTCTCCTGGACGGCCTTGGGGCTTGGAACATCCAAGTGACCATTCTGTCATTTCTTTTTGCTCTCCTTCCCCTTAGGACCCTTGGAGTTCCAGTGGGCCAGCGAGACAGGGTGGGCACGGAGCCTCCCAGGCTGGGGCAGTGGGCATGGGCGGGGGCTGTGGCTGAAGACCACCCCCGCCCACTGCAGACCCCACGGGACTTCCACACCGCAGCTGCCATGGCCACCAATAAGGAACGACTTTTTGCATCTGGTGCCCTTGGGCCTGGATCTGGCTACCCAGGAGCAGGCTTCCCCTTCGCCTTTCCAGGGGCACTCAGGGGGTCTCCACCATTCGAGATGCTGAGCCCTAACTTCCGGGGCCTGGGCCAGCCTGACCTCCCCAAGGAGATGGCTTCTCTGTGTAAGTCTCAGGGATCTTGGAGGAGGAGGGCAAATGAAAACAGGAGGGCTTTGGGAAGTGTGGATGATATAGAAAATTGGCATCCCAGTTAGGAAGGTGGGCAGGGCATGGGAGTTTGGTCTAATGAGTAGTGGTGAATAGTGGTGCTGAGGAAGGGTTTTGGACGTGGACTAAGGAGGAGTGTTTGCAAATGAGAGTTCTGCTCAAATAGGATGGGGAAGTAGCAGGCCTAAAATTGGGAGATCTAAAACTGCTTTCTAAGTCAGTCAACCAGCAAAGGGGAACACCTTTGCTTGGTGGCCAAGGCTGGCTCTGTTGCAGTCTGAGGCTGCCACCTGCATGCAGTTGGGAGGTGGGGGAGCCAGGATGAGAAGTAGAAGCCAGTCAGCTGATTCTGTGATCAAGAGGCGAGATTGTTCTGAAGCTGCAAAAGGAGGAAGAAATGTAATACCAAGTGCCTAAAGTTGTGTGAGATCCAAAGGGACTCCTGCTTGGCTCTGGGGAGGATGGAAACAGTTTCAGAGAAGTGGGGTCTGTGCCGCACGTAATCCAGAGAGGTAGAGGGCATGTTGCAGAAGCATCCTCTCCTCCAGCCACGTGGTTGTGGACTCTTCCCCTCCCTCCAGATCTGGCAGAGCACCCACATGCTGTGCAGATCCCTACTTGTTCCCCAGGCCTGCCCTCTTTGGGTTAAACCTTTTGAGTGTTGACAGCAGGCACCCTCTCTACCCACTTAATTGTTGTTTCTCCTGGCCAGGCCTTTGCAGATGGGGGTGCCTATGAGCTAGAGCCTGGGGTGGGGGCTCTGTGGGGTAAAGGTGTCAGCATATAACTGGTGAAAAGAAGCCTTCATCTGGAGAGAAAGGAAGATGACTTAAAGGCAGGAAAGGGAGAGACAAACAGAGGCAGAGAGAGACAGAGACAGAGGAAAAGACAAAACGATCAAGACATCCTTTACAGGGTGGCAATCTCAGAAACAGAGGTGGAAGAGAAGAGGCCCTGCCTTAGGATGGGGCACTCAAAGGGTTGTGCATGTAAGGAAGGGGTGACTAGATTGGGCTGGCAGCTCCACTGGAAAGAGTAAGCTCATCTGGAGAAGGGGGTGTGTGCATGCGTGCATGTGTGCCTATGTGTATGCCCTGACTGTAAGAGCTATGTGTGCATAGGGTCTCCCCAGAACTCTGCTCATATGTAGAATTCCAGTGTGTGCAACAAAGAGTCAGTGTGAAATGTGAGGAGTGTTTAATAGGGGGGCTGACCTTGTGTCTGGTGTTTGGTGAGGCCTGAGGGGGTCTGGAGTCCAACAGGAGTTACTGAGTACATGCAGGTGAATAAGGAAGCACAGAGCTCCCTTTTTGGAAACTTACAGCTAGGGCTTCCCCCTACTTCATTTTCATCCCCAGAATCTGTCCTAGAAAGGAACCACCCTAACCCTCAGGAAGGTACTCCTTGCAGAGAACCATACCACGCAGTCTCTTGGGATTTGATTTTGCCAGGTTCTGAGAGAGGCAACTTTAGGAACTGGAGTAAAGAGGGAGAGAAGAAAGAGAATAATGTTGGGGAAAATGCTGAGAGGCCAGTCCCTAGGGAAGTTCTTGTGCTCCTGTGTGCTGGACACATAGGAGGTCAAGGTCAGGGTTCAAAGTGAGGTCAAGGTCGGGGAAGGGGCCAGGCTGTGTTCCATCTCCAGAGGCTGTTCAGAAGGAGTAGGGCTGAAAGGAGAAATCCCAGGGAGGAGCCAGAACCAGGGCTGGTATCTGAGGAGGGTGCGGCTAGCATGGAAGGACAAGCCTGGGCAGAGAGGTGGCAGGTAGGGTAGGAACGCGGGGAAGACGTGGGCCCAGACAGCTTGCCTGGGGGCGGGGCAGGCAGCACCTAGTGGTCTGCAGGGGAAAGGAAAGGACCCTAGAGTTTGGGAAACTTCTTGGAGAGTGACAGTAGTTGAAAGGTTAGAGTGCTATCTCATTTCCCTGACCTGATATCCCTTTTTTGGTTGGGACCATCTAATGGAGAGGGACTAGGGATTAGAAGCTTAAATTCTATGTCAATGCCATTCTCATCTTGAGTCTGTGCCTCTCTCATGGCCCTCTTTCTCACATCCAATAAGAGAGGGTGAGCTGGCATGGGCACACTTCTGTAATCGCAGCACTCAAGAGGCTGAGGCAGAAGGATCGCTTTGAGTTCCAGGCCGGCGGCGTGCACTACACTTAGCATAATGAGACCCTGTCTCAAAAAACAAAAAACAAGGTGGGGGTGGAGGGGAAAGGGGTGGGGGAGAGAGAGAGAGAGAGAGAGAGGGGGAGGGAGAGGGGGAG